TAATAGTAAACGTTTTCGTTGCTGGTGGTGATGTGGACCCGTCGGCCACATGGGACCCGATCGGGTAAACACTAATCCGTTCGTGCGGTGTGTCAATGTCATTATAGCTGTATTATTATTCTAATTGGCACGTGCACACCAATCCCAAGATGACGGTCGTGCCTAAGTTTTTCGGATTTACCTAATACTACATAATTTAAAAGAAATTAAAAAATTATAATTCAGATATCACTAATGCTATTGGGACATAATTAAATGACATAATTTGGGGATATAATGAGTTGTCACCAATAAGATGATAGTAAAATATATTTAATGATGAGTTTTATTGTAGCATTAATAAATTTATTATTATATCATTTGTGACAACTCATTATGTCCTCAAATTATGTCCCAATAATATTGCTCTTCAAATATTTAGATGAATATGTCTCATCAATTTTTCCGTTAAAACTCACTCGTCAAACACTTATCAAACAAATAATATGTATTTTAATTGTAATTATTAAATTTTATTTAAATTGAATAACATTTTTCTTACCAAATAATTATCTCAAATTCCTTTTATATAATAATATCTGTTCACGTCAACAAGTCTTAAATCATATGTGATGAAAAAAGGCAAAGATTGAATTCTTTAGTTCAACAATTGATTTTTTTTAACCCTAAAAAAAAAATCAATACTTTCATTTTTATTTTTCCCACCCATCTCCACAATTATGAGTTCTTTTCATTAAACATGATATTTAATTAAAAAAAAATGTTATTTGGACCGACCTAATCCGTTGATCTAATCAACTATAACTGTTAAATTAAAACATTAAGTTTAATAGTTGTACTAAATTATGTCCTTGATTTAATCTCCAATCTTATTTTCCCTTTAAAAATATATACTTGTTGTATAAGGTGAGTTGTGTGAACATCGTCCATGAAGCAGCAGTTCTACTTATCAACCAGTTCTAATTTACCCACAGAAATCAACTACAGAAGGAATCATAAGCAAATCCAAGTGAAAATTATAGACCCGACAGTCCTCTTTGTCTGTTTATGATCATGTATGAGTTGGTGACTGTACGGAAATAGAACATGGGTAGCACTTGAGATCAACAGCTGATCGTGGAGATCAGAGAGGTCTTTCTTTTTTCCTGTTTTTATTGATGATGAAATCAACAAAAAAAATAAAAAAATAAAAATAAAAACTTGGCAACCATTAAGAATGTATGTAGTAGTTAGCAGCTCACATGGGTGGTAGTCATATCTTTGAAGTATTATATTCAAGTTCAAGCAAATGGTTGTGGAGTACATTTTTATATCATTCAGTACATGATTGAGAGATTAATCACCTACCTAGCATGTCTTTCTTTCTTGAACATTTGATGGAGCTAGACATATATGTATACTTTGTTTTCTTGGATGATACGATTCATGAATACGTTCCTTTGCCTATGCATATAATTAGGGTNGATTGAGAGATTAATCACCTACCTAGCATGTCTTTCTTTCTTGAACATTTGATGGAACTAGACATATATGTATACTTTGTTTTCTTGGATGATACGATTCATGAATACGTTCCTTTGCCTATGCATATAATTAGGATTGATAATTATTAACACGATTTACATATCCAATATGCTCGCGGAGTATGAGTTTAGCGTCGTTGGTTTTGGGTCATATCTGCCAATCACAAGCAAAACTTGTCATCAAATATGAACATGATGCTCATAAAAATAGGTATCAAGTTTACAGAAATGCAAGCTTTAGGAATGACTGATGAGAGAGATGCTATCTTGTCGACGAAATAGTATTCAGGTAGGTTGAGGAAAAAACAAAACCCATGTAAAAGTACCTTTGGAATGCATCAAAAAGGTTGGTGAAGACAATTTTTTACTTACTAGATGTGTTTTAAAGTCTCAACAAAGCTTAAATAGATAAGTTTGAAGGTGTACTCTATTAAAATTAATTGAATCTCTCCTAAATTATTGTCTAAAAGTATATTATTTTAGTGATTTCGTTAGTTAACATGCCTTCTTGTCTCCAAGATCACTCTTCCCCTTCAAGCTTAAGTGGCCAACAAGTACACATGACAGAAAGCCAGGTTAATTGGGGAGAGATAATGGTTGCCAGGGAAGCGACGCCATGCATGAACCACCACTGTTGGCCGGTACGTCCGTCTGTGTGTCGAATGGCCACACATAGGTTAGCCTTGTCACCAGCCTAATGTTAAGGCCATGATTGGAGTTGTAATTTGGGTGTATATAAAAGGAATTGTAATAATTTTAGCCATCATTAAGAACTTCACAGATTTCATGTTATTAAGCATGGCGTCGTAGACAACGTTGATGAAGCATAAAATTTTCTTAAAGCTTCCGTGAGAATAACTGTTAGAAATAGTTGGTGCTCATATTCACTAACTTCAAAGTTGTCAGTGTGTGGGGCAAAGAGCATGAGTACAACTTAGCGGAACAAAAGCGAATAGGTATGAGTTATTGACTGGGATTAAGAGTTTTCAATTAGTACTTACAAATAAGTTGCAAGTCTATTGGGAAGAAGAAAAACACAAACACGACCTGAAACCATATCAATTCCAAGGAGTATTAGTATCATTATTAGGCTTGGATGTGGGACCAAAATGCACATTTTGGAAAGGGTCTACATGTTGGTGCTTATGTGTGACAGAAGAAAGTGATTGAAAGTGATTAATGATTATATAAGATTAGTTAATGATACTAATACAGTATTGCTCGACAAGCTGTGACCTGTATGACTTAAACAAATCAAGGACTGCAAAGGAAACTTCTCTCTCTCTCTCTATGTGCCTTCTGCTTCCCCTAATCGGAGTGTTCTATTCCAGTGTCACTATCTTTTGTTTCATTCATTTGTGGAATATGCTCCTTTTCAACTACTGTCTTCTATCTTGCATTTTAATTTGATTATCTATACCTATTCTTAAAAGAGTATAACGGATCCCATAACCACAACCAAATAAGTTGATGTATAATGAATTGAAAACGGACCTTATAGGATTAGGGTAAAAATTATATGTAAACTCATGCAATTTATCGTTAGTCTAATAGTGAACAGCTGATAAGAATGCGTTATTTGAATGGAATCCAAATGTGAACCCCGTCATTCAAAAAAACAGAACTGTAAACCCGCAATGCCTTTTTTGAAACAGTAAAAATCAAGTTGATAAAAAAGTTTTTGGTATTTCATTACTCACCAAATCATTCAGGCTCAAGTGGTAAGAAAACTTGCATTTGTGTGACCAAAGTCATCTTATATTAACTTCCACACTTCAAAAAATCATAAGGTGCCAAGTTATTTTCACTCAAATTTGGAAGCTCTATGGCAATTAGTATGCCCTGTTAATTTAGTCGAGAAATGAGAGTGTAGATTTACCTTCCACATGCAAATTTTTTTCTCTTTTTTCGGTGATTTGTGGAACGTGTGCCTGTCCATGCGTGATTCTTCCAACGATAGATATATTATAACTAAAGTTATTTTCTACATGCATGCAATCACTTGTAAACCATGTACTTTGATGCTATTTTCTTGCTTTCCTAATAATACACCAGTACTTGAATTAATCCATCATCCCTTAAAATGCTAACAAACTGAGTGGAGTCTGTCAATATGGATAGCTTTTAGACTTGACGACATGCAAGGAACCCTCTTGATGTTGTCCGTGGAAGCTTTACAAAATGGGAAAAAAATGGATCGTTAATCAAACCAAGAAATTGATACAAATAGTTCACAGTGAAGGATTTTACAAAACGGGAAAAAAAATGAACTATAACCAAAGAAAGAACTTGATACAGATTGAACCAGTAAAACAATCTCTATGGAATATTTCATTACATTTTGTCAAGACTGGATCAAGTAGNTACAAATAGTTCACAGTGAAGGATTTTACAAAACGGGAAAAAAAATGAACTATAACAAAAGAAAGAACTTGATACAGATTGAACCAGTAAAACAATCTCTATGTAATATTTCATTACATTTTGTCAAGACTGGATCAAGTAGTAAATGCTTGTAAGTGCTGTAGAGGGAAATAACGTAAGGTCGTTTCCAGGGTTGGGATTGTTTTAGTTGTGGAGGATGCCAGCTCAAGCTAAATGTAATCAACAACTAATAGTGCAATATATTGTAACACTTGTATAATGTAAGGTCTTGCACTTACACTTATCATAAAAAACACGTTAGGACAGGTCAAAACTCCTATACACATTATTTTAGGTCATTAAGATGTTTAAAGTAGCAATTTATGACCTTGCATAACCTAAGCCAATGCCAATAATGAAACTTGTTAGGAAATTGACATCATTTTATTATTATTTCTCTGCATTGAATCTATGTTAGACATCAAGCACTTAGGAAATGCAAATGCAGAGTGTATCGTCACATCCCATAACGAACAACTTAAGTTTTTTGATTGCGAGACCGTGACAAAATGTGGTGTTAGTCTCTTTTATAGTACTTGCTTCAATCAAACACTCATGATCCTTCACCGTTGCAGCTTCAAAAATTTCACTATACTCTGCAAATGATGCATATTGAGCAATGTTAATCATCTTCAACTAAACATTAAGAAGAAAAGTATACAAACTGCTGGTCAAAACACCATTACTGCACAGCACAGCATGCATCCAGATATTCCTTAACAAATTCTTCAATGTTCTATTAAATTGCAACGCTAGCATCTTGTAAATGTAGTTGCAGCTATTATATAAAATTGAAGATATTCTAAAAATGAGCTGAAAAGGATCCAATCATCAAGCAAATAGAAATGGGGTTGGTTTATGCTAGCTCTTTTGTCCTTTAAGGATGTTGAACGGAATCTCAAATGAGACTAAAAAATGGAGGATGGGGGGGAGAAGAGTTTTAATGTTTTATAATCAAGAAATAATGAAATCTGTAGGCCAATAAGGGAACCAATGTAATTAATTACTCAATATCATATCACCCACCTCCCTCCTCCTTTGGTGCTTATAAACATGGTGATGATGCTTGCACTAAACAGAGAGAAGATTACTAGTACCATACCAAAACCCCAAAAGATCAGAATGACAGGCTCTGGTTCTCCTTGTGGTGCCTGCAAGTTCTTGAGAAGAAAATGTGTAAGGGGTTGTGTTTTTGCCCCTTACTTCTGTCATGAACAAGGTGCAAGCCATTTTGCAGCAATCCATAAAGTCTTCGGTGCCAGCAATGTGTCGAAGCTCCTAGCTCACCTCCCGGTGAGTGACCGCTGTGAAGCTGCTGTCACGATTTCGTATGAAGCTCAAGCTAGGCTTCAAGATCCCATTTATGGATGTGTTTCACATATCTTCTCTCTCCAACAGCAGGTTTTGTACTCATTTATCTTGCATCTTATAAAATTTGGTGATTGAAACCCTAATTTACTGTTAGGTCTCAACTTTATTTTATTTTATTTTTTAATTCAATTGTGCAGGTTGTTAATCTACAAGCACAACTAGCTTCTCTAAAGGAACAAGCAGCTCAAAGCCTTCTCAGTGGCTCCAACAGTACAAACTTTAATGATAGATTCACTGGAAAATGCCCTTCTTACCCACTGGATGTTCAAAGTTGGTTCCAGTCAGAATTTTTTAGCATGATGCCCCAATTTGATCCCAACTTAACCGGTGGTATAGGAAACATGCCATATTGTGAAGACGGGTCCATCAATCTGGGAANGTTCCAGTCAGAATTTTTTAGCATGATGCCCCAATTTGATCCCAACTTAACCGGTGATATAGGAAACATGCCATATTGTGAAGACGGGTCCATCAATCTGGGAAACTATGAAAATTCAGTCCTCCCAGAAGATAATATCTCATTTTCTAACTTGGAAGAAGCTTCTCATTCCATGGACTCTCTCCATGATGTACAAACAAACAGCAAGCTATGGACTTTCTGAGACGACCCGAATGATCTTCAATCGGTGGCCTTCGGATATATTCAGCGTTCATAATGCAATGGCACCTCAGCAAAGTATATCATGGGGGAAGATTACTCTGCCAATTCTGTATTGCTACCTCAACCTTTGATGTTATGTACCTCTGCTGCCATAAGAAAATGTAGGAGCCCAAAAATGTTCATACTTACTATATTGGAAACCCTATAATTTTATCTTTCGAGTGTTTTCCTAGATTCTATGTAACCTTGGATATGAGTAGAATAATAGTTTACTACACCGACGAATCTCGTTTTTTTGAGCTAAACAAATCAGCTTTTTAGTGGACCAAGCTAGTTAAGACCTAAATCTTAGACTTAATCAAGACATTAAAACTAGCTAATCATTTTGGTTTTGCTTTACCTTATGAACCTATGAAGTTGGTCCAGTAAACATTGCACAAGTTGATGCTATTTGTGAAAATTTACAGAGTAATCCTTTCCTAAACAAATTTACTGAGTAACCCCATAAACAGTGTATAGTACAAGATCGCGATTTGGGTCACGTAATGTGTGGACTCTTTGTTTACAAGAGTTGATTGTGTAAAAAAGGGCAAAGTAAGCTGGCCTGGACACTAGAACCACAAAAAAAAAAAAAGGTGGAAAAGTGGAATTTGATTTATACATGTCTGCTTGGTGCAAAACTATCTTGTTGGTCTTAGTTTGTAAAAGAAAGTTTTCGTTGTGTTTATACCAGGAATAGCTTTATTAGTTATTAGAGGAGTATTATAGTTGATAACTTAACATCTGAAAATGTGTCAGGTTATTGCAGAATGCAGAGTTCCTGAAAAGATACTTTATATGTTTTCTATGGAAAAAAATGCAATCCCGAGGGAATTAGGTATTGTTCTTACTTTAGTTACCTCATGGGAAGCAGACCTAACTTCGTTGATCATACGCCCTTTCCGGTGCTTGTTGATTGTCTTTTACATACCTCAAAAACCCTAAAAATTCTTCAGCTGAAATTTTTGAAAAGATTTTTGGTACTTGATTTGTTAACCTTTTGGAAGAACGAGTTAGGCCAGAGTTTGACTATATTTAAAAAAAAGAAAGAAAAAAACTCTTTATAATAGGAAGCTGCTTATCTGGTGAAGGTCATTTGATTCTCTCCTAACATTATAGCGTTCACAGTCAAGTCCTGCTCCCTAAATAGTTGTAAACAATGCACAAACTTCTCAGTGTAACAGCAATTTGATTGAGTTACTAAACTGCATGCTATCACTACCTCTAACTCATGCGTGTGTGGAAGATTTTTGGGCAATAATGAGTAAATAAATCGTAGTGGAAGCCTCGTGCACTGGATCGCTCTTTTTTTAATAATGGAATAAGTGGAATAGTGAGGCTTTTCGGCTTCACCAGCATATGACATAATGTTGCTGTAGTAGAAGTGACNCTCTAACTCATGCGTGTGTGGAAGATTTTTGGGCAATAATGAGTAAATAAATCGTATTGGAAGCCTCGTGCACTGGATCGCTCTTTTTTTAATAACAGAATAAGTGGAATAGTGAGGCTTTTCGGCTTCACCAGCATATGACATAATGTTGCTGTAGTAGAAGTGACATAAGAACTGAATTTAAATCTATTAAGGCTTTTTAACATCCACAAGATAGCTGAATGTTGTTCTAAATGGAAGTTGTATAAGCAGGAGAGCCCTGGGGAAGCGCGGGGTTGTCAGATTTTTGTTATGTCCTTTATACATAGAGGTAGAAGATCAATGATAGCCTTTTGAGGCATTTGAAGAGTTACTCCTAGCATTTTGAAGAGTTACAGAATGCAAATGGCACAACAAGCCAGAGTGCAAAGCACAAGTAGAGGGCCCTTCTTCTTTTTTTTAAAAAAATTTCTGTTGAACAAAATTGAGCATTGAACTAGAGAACTACATATCGAAGGTTTCGGGGCGTATAAGAGAAAAATAGGGAATGCTTGTGAGTTGTACTTGTCCAGNAAAAAAATTTCTGTTGAACAAAATTGAGCATTGAACTAGAGAACTACATATCGAAGGTTTCGGGGCGTATAAGAGAAAAATAGGGAATGCTTGTGAGTTGTACTTGTCCAGCAATAGAGCTTGATGTTTAGGAGATGAAATATTCCAGCTACTGCCTATTTTATTTCTTCTCCAACAACTTTAGATACATATTCCAGCAACTTTTTAGATGCATATGACCATACTACAAAAACTGTTCTTAATCTGTCCGGCTAGCTAGCTGCTGTTTTTAAGTATCTAGTGCTAGAAATTTAGAATATGGGCTTATATACAAGATTCAAATCCAATCCAAAAAACTTAACTCACGTTTAGAGTAATTTGTTTCAAACTTGGTATATTAACCCTATTTTTTTTTCTTACCAACTCAATGTGGGATTGCCCTTGCCTGCTCACATGTGGTTCGACAACCTACTGAGTTTGTTGATGACTTTTTCTAGAATGCAGAAAAATTTGGTGTTTTCGGCAAAGCTCTAGGTAGATTTTGTATTGCTNGAAATTGCTTAACATTAATATGGGATTTGGAGAACCAATACAATTTGCTTAAATAATTGGGTCGGTAGAAATTGCTAAAGCTACAAATTACTTATGATGTAACCGTGTGCAGTCAACCAGGGCCCAGGGGGACAATTTGTCTATCAATTTGAGTACAAGGTTATGATACTAGCCTTAAAATTTTGAATAGTATTTAGTAAGGTAAACTTACATGGTAGAACATAAACCCTAATCAAGTGGGCCCTCAAATACTTTTATTTTTTTAATTCAATAGTCAGGAATGTCCAGACATTTCTTCCACAATCACCAATTTGACAGATGAAATGACGAAAATTACAAGGTTACCATGTTTATCATTCTAACCATTAATTCTTTAAACTCATGACTGCAATATAGTTCTTAAAATGCTTACAATTGCTTGTTAATCATGTCAACCACTAAAATATGAGTTTTTTGTTGTCAAGTATTACAAACTCAAAATATGCAGATTTAAATCTCCCCCCTTATTCGATCAACCCTCCATATGCCTTTCAGTTAACAAGGTCATAACCAAAGGGAACTTACACATTTACATGCAATATGTAGACCTAGAAGTAGCTGTTTCTGAATGGCATATCAAGTGCTGAGGCACAAAGTTTTCTCAACCAAACTCATCGGCTAGGTTGCACATAGGGATGACAGTAGATCGGGGAAAAACGGGTATTCGTTCAAATCCGTCCCTTTTGNAACCAAACTCATCGGCTAGGTTGCACATAGGGATGACAGTAGATCGGGGAAAAACAGGTATTTGTTCAAATCCGTCCCTTTTGGACCGGGGATGGACTGTACGTATTAGACGGTGGACGTATACGAGAATACCCGTATAAATCAGTACGGAGATGAAGGTGGGGATAGACTTACCCCGTCCCCGTTACCGGTTAAAATATATATATATATATATAAACAAAATTGTTAACCTAATATGATTATATTGCATGAATATCCTCTTACTATGGTTGAGCATCACGGGTTTCAAAAATATTGTCACACTCTTCAACCAATGTTCNAAAATTGTTAACCTAATATGATTATATTGCATGAATATCCTCTTACTATGGTTGAGCATCACGGGTTTCAAAAATATTGTCACACTCTTCAACCAATGTTCAAAATGATATCTCAAANTACAGGGTCCTTGGCTCGAAGTATATGTATAAGACTATACTTAATCCATCACAACAGCTGATTAACTCTTAATTACCACTGAGTTGGGTGGTTCAATGGGATACTAATTGAACTTTTCACCTTGAAGTTAAAAGTTCGAATTTTGAAGTTTATTTTGAGACTCGATAGTTGATTGTTATACTAATTTAATTAGATTCGTTCTCAAAAGAAGTAAAGGGCATGATCAGAAACTTCACGATCCCACCAATGGAGGTGTATTGGAGTGATCTCTTGAAGCTCTCCTTTGCTCCCACCCTTTTATAAAGTAGAGATTAAATTCTGCACGATTTACACGTAAATCCCTCGAGTTGAAATTGCTTAACATTAATATGGGATTTGGAGAACCAATACAATTTGCTTAANATGTGTTATTTATTATCTTTAGATTTTTATATGTGTCTTATCCACATACCAAGGAAGTGCTTGTGGAGTGTTTGATGAATTGCTTTTTCGATTGGAACCTTGATAGAAAGTTGATCGCTTTGACTGTGGATAATTGTACCACTAATGATGCAATTGTGACTATTTTGTTGGATAAACTTCTATTTGGTTCACTAATATTGCATAGTCAGTTGTTGCATATGTGTTGTTGTGCACATATTCTCAACTTAATTGTTCAAGATGGTTTGAATGTGAATGGAGATGGTATTGAAATAATTTGTGATAGTGTTGCTTATTGGACAACATCTCTCAAGAAAGTGCAAAAATTTGAAGAGGCAGCTCATCAGATACATATTCCAAGTAACAAGAAGTTTGTTCTTTAAGACTCGATGGAACTCTACTTTTCTCATGCTTCAAACTAGTTTGATTTATAGAGATGTGTTTGCTCGCTTGAAATATCGAGATTCTCATTACAAGATTTGTCCGACTGAAGATGATTGGGAGGTGGCAAGAGAGATTTGTCAAAAATTGAAATTGTTTCATACTGCAACAAAATTATTTTCAGGTACAAAGTATCCTACTGCCAATGTATACTTTCTAACTATTTGTGGGATAAGAGTAAAAATATCTAAATGACTTCAAAGTCCCAAAGACGTGATAAAAGATATGGCCTTGAATATGTTTGAAAAGTTTAACAAATATTGGAGTGTGATTCATGGTGTTATGGGAGTAGCCACTGTTTTAGATCCACGGTATAAGTTGGAAATTTTGGAGTATAATTATGAGAAAATGTATGGAGGTGTGGAAGATTTAAATGAAGTGAAGAGGATTAAGGAGCTTTGCTTGGAATTGGCAAGCGAATATGAAGCGCTGCAAGGAAGTGATTATGTACCACATCATTCTCCTCCCCCTCTTCAATCAGATATTGATTCCAAATGCCCAATAATTGATAATCTCTCAAATTTTGATAAATTTATACAAACAAGAGACATAACAAAAGCACGTGGGAAATCTGAGTTGGATTGTTATGTAGAAGATGGTATGATGCCAAGAAGTTCAGATTTTGATATACTATCTTTTTGGAAGACAAGTGGTCCCAAGTATCCTTTGCTTCAAATGTAAAGATCTTTTTGATATTCCTGTTTCTACCGTGGTCTCAGAATCTGTTTTTAGCACAAGTGGGAGGGTGATCAGACCACATCGCAATAGACTTCTTTCGACTACAGTAGAGGCTTTAATATGCTCTCAAAGTTGGTTATATGCTAACGAACGAGGTAAATGACATATTATTTGTATGCGCATCATAATTTTATGTTATTTTTTTGTGGGTAAAGTATGACTAATGCATTATTATTTTTTTTTTTGGTTAGGTTCATCTATTTCGACGAGCTTGAAGAGCTACACATTATTGAATGATGTTGATATTAATGATGAGGTATATCGTTTTAGTTGAAATTTTTTTTTTTTTGGAAGAATCTAATTTTTTTTTCTTTTAATGATATAAGAAAATGATGTTGAAGAAGTAGATTCTACCACCACCGATGGTGTCAATTGATGATTGAGTTGATGTGAAGCTAGTGTTAAGANAGAAGTAGATTCTACCACCACCGATGGTGTCAATTGATGATTGAGTTGGTGTGAAGCTAGTGTTAAAAGATGATTGAGTTGATTGAGATGATTCTACCACTCGTTATGTTAATTGTGTAATGTTGAATTATATCAAATTTAAGTAGTATTTTGGACATTTGTTGTTTGTGTTATGTTCGAATATGTTATGCTACATTATGTTGTTTTAGATTATGTTACATTATTTAAAATATTGTTAGATTATTTAAAATGTTGAATTTATTTATAATTTTAGATTATGTTGGCTTGAACTCGGACTTAAGCTTAGGCTTGGGCTTGGGCTTGGACTTGGGCGGGTACGGGAGAAGCGGGGACGGGGACGAAAATTATAAATTTACACGCGGACAAGGATGAGAATGAAAATTATACCCGTTAGCGGGGCTGAACCGGGGATGGATAAATGTTTTTTAAGCAGTTACGGNGGACAAGGATGAGAATGAAAATTATACTCGTTAGCGGGGCTGAACCGGGGATGGATGAATGTTTTTTAAGCAGTTACAGGGATGAAGACTATACTCCCCGCCCCCGCTTCGGTCCATTGACATCCCTAATTACACATTTGTCATTAATCATCTTGGTAAACGACAATAAGTACTATATGAATTTAATTTGGTGATCTAATTATCGGAACTAATCTATAATTATTCTTAAATTGACGGTTATTTCCAACTAATATTAAAATTTACAATCAATCCGATAATAGTAAATATTTAGGTCAGAACATTATACCAACGAATTAATTCAAAAAGCATTACTCGAGAAACTGTTAAAAAGGCTTCATCTTGGAATGTCTTCTAGAACCCCATTAAGCATGCTTGTTTTTTTAATTATATCCACTTTCTCTTAAGGAAGCGCCATCAGAGGGTTCAAACCTCAATAATGCATATCTTGTAACAATATTTTAATATGCGAATGCTACATATTCTATGAAATAGACGAAATTTTAATGACAATCAAGATGAACCCAATTCCAATGCACCTTTCAAAATGTCAAATAGAGTAATCTTTTCATGAGTAATGTTACGTATACTTAAAAAATAGATTTAAAAATTATATTTAATAATTTTAATTATTGATTTCACTGTAAGTCCCAGTATTTATTGAGATTCAGTACCTATTCAATAGTCGAGATTATCAAATATAATTTTTAAGTTCATTCAACATTATTCTTTAGTGTAACTACACTAATAGAAACCTGATAATGTAAAATAGTATCACACAAGAGAGAGAGAGAGAGAGAGAGAGAGAACACAGTCTAAATATTGTTGCAATTAATTTGTTGATAGAAGGCAAAAATGCAGACGTCTGGGCTTATAGAACTACGATGTTTTCTCGTCTCTGTATGTACGTGATTTAAGGCTTTTGGATCATCATCAAACAACATAATCTTGTAAGAAACATGGTGAGTTTAATTAGTTCCTCATCATTCGAAGAGCCAGTGCTTGAAGCTCACCCAAGTCAGTTTGTGAAGGTCTCCTCTTAGAGTAAGGTTGGAAAGAGAGCTCATCTCTGATTTGAATCTCTTGCACACCCATCCCTTCATTGTTGTGTTCAATGGACTCGACTGAGCTCTGGGGTGATATAGAGTTCAGGTAAGCCGGAAACGATGCCATTCCGGCCATTATATTTCCTGCGGGCCATTGATTCTCTGGATTATTCCTTGATGAATCAATAAGATTTTGTGCCAGTTGAGCCTTCAGTTGCATCAGCTGGGCTTGCAAGTATGCCACCTTTAGAATATAAAACAAAGAGTCTCATTAGCACTTCATTTGTATCTATAGCATATATAGGCAAAACACCATTACCAGTACATGCATCTTATTATATATTATAAACTTCTTATATTAGTGCATAGATGTGTTACTATACATGCGATTAATTGAAGGAAGCAAACAAAAAAATTAAAAATAATCAAACGGTACCAATTTGTGGTGGAGGCGATTTATTCGATAATGAGTATGTGTGGCTTTGTCATATATAGATAAGAATAGGTTACAACTTACGAGCAGTTATGGCCCTCCAGAGTCCAGGCTAATTAGAGTTCATAATCGACTCGAACTNTAAGAATAGGTTACAACTTACGAGCAGTTATGGCCCTCCAGAGTCCAGGCTAATTAATGTTCAAATTATTAGAGTTCATAAAGTACTCCGGTTTAATTTATATAAAATTCAACTCAAACTCAGTTCATGTTTTAAATAAGTTGAGTTTAAACAATATTTTAATTTCGTTTCAGTAATCTCAATTCGATCTCACAAAACTTGGCTTGATTATTAGTCATACAAATTATTCATCCTAAGAAAGTGAAATGTACAGATATCCCAAACCAGGGAGAGAGGAAGAAGAAGAAAATGGGTTTTTTTGTGTTTTTGAACGCAGAAGGAAATGTTTTTAATTCTATGAAATTTAACGACCTGCTGTTGCAAGGCGAAGATATGAGCGACGCAGCCATAAACTGGATCTCTGATCCTTGCTTGAGCTTCATAACCAATAGTCACAACCGCCTCACAGCGATCAGCCACGGGGACATGAAGTAATAACTTGGAAACGTTACTAGCTCCAAACACCTTATGAATCGCAGCGAATATAGCCGGCCCTTGTTCCGAGCAAAAATATGGCGCAAATATACAATCCGTTGCACACTTTCGCCGGAGAAACTTGCATGCACCACAAGGAGAACCAGTCCCACTTGCCATATTGAGGAGAGAGAGAGAGAGATTTAGGCCCACGAGCACACTAGGAAATGGTGCAAATGAAGGACTTGTCTTGAATCTTGTTGGTTGGAGGGCCAGTGGGTGTTGAGGGACACAAAGGGTAGGACCTTATAAAGGGTGAGAATGGGGGGACATGGAAGGTCTGTGTGTGGGTTCTAAGGGAACATTTATTAATGGCTTATGTAGAATGGGTATGGTTCTTTAATGTGGCTTTAGACCAGTTTATATGAGTTTTTTTAAGTCTTTCATACTGTGGTTCAAAGACTTTGAGTTCAATGTTCTTATAAAGTATTGTTTTCCGCCGAACGCCCCACCTGGGAACTACAGCTCTTTGCTGCTTTCTGGAAATTGTTTTTAACTGACACGTGTCAGTTATGTTTAATAATTATTTAAAATTAACAGCATTTGTTTTGAGCACCTCTAATTTTATTAGGTGATGAAGCACTAACACAGTGGATTAGAATTGAAATAACATGAAAACCCTTTAATTAAAAGATTGATTTGACACGTCATATGCCCTTAATAAAGTATGTAGGTTTTGTTCATAAAATTTAAGGGTATTCATTCTAATAACTGGAATAGAAAATAAGTTAATGGGATATTATGCTGGAAAGTCACTTTATGACTGATTGACTTTGGAGCTTGGTGAAGAAAAAAGAAGACTCCTTTGCTTTGTTTTTACAAGTTTGATTCTTGGAAATTGAGTCATCAAATGGTCATGAAATCAGTGTTCAGTCAGCTTTAAGGGTAACGTTATTGCTCGGTTAAGCAACTTGTGACACCCCCTGGTATTAAATGCTCCATTTATTCCCCTAACTTGAGATTTTCAGGTCGAATCTTGAAAGACCACGTTCATCCCGTCTTTATAATTAGTTACGAGTTTAAAGGATATATGGCTGACGGTTTACAATTATCCAAAAAGAGGCTCAACCAACTGCATCAATGATCCGACGAACATGGCACAGATGCAATCAATTTAACGATCTTATACAATTAAAGCTTAAAATCAACACCATCATCCCCTGTCTGCGAAAAAATCCATCAGATTAGTTTTCAAAATAACCCAAGGATCTAATGACTAGATGTACAGCTGCCAATGAATTATATACATACTCTGTTCATGAACGCAAAATAAAAGGACCTTGACCACGTCCACTGCACTAGAACCTTTTATCTTCAGGTTCTACAACGGACCAGTCCTGTAAGGTACAACACAAAAATGCCACTCGAAAATTGTTCAGACTAATAATAAAAGGATTATGAAGCTCAACCTTTTCCTGTTTATGTTTATGTTTGGAGTCACTAGACTTACTGCAAAACATATAAGAGGCATCCCGCCCGTACTTTTGTAGAACATGTTGGTGCTTCAGAGACTTGGCACACGGAAGAACCAGATAAATGCAGACGAAGATCTAGCATAAGGCTTGCTGCCTTTGAGGTGTCCGCATGAAGAGGTACTGCAGAGAAGGCAGTTGTTAAGCCATCCATCCATAAAATATGTTTTTGGTTCTCTTAAATGACCTCAAATGATTTGCCAGATCTCTCAAATTCTAGCATGTTGAGAGCAACTTCACAGCTCTGAGAGACAAGCCGCACAGGATCCTTTGCAAATTCCTCGAGAAGTGCTATGCATTGATCATCTACAAAAGTAACATGACAAAGCTTATTAGGAAAAAAAAAACAAGAATTAAGACGGTTGGAGTTTAAAAGATACATACATAATCCAGAACAATAAATATATGAATGCAAAAATAGGTTTAAGGGTGATGATGGAAGGCTTATTAGTTCAGATGACAATGAAAACACTGCCTGTACAAGCTTCAGGGCCAACTAGATAATCCCACAAAAATGCAAGGGAATAGTTTCCATTTTGGAGGTTATGGATTTCATTCTGATAAAATCATCTAATTCAAGGACAACTTATCTGCAGTAAACATCATGTTACTTTAGCTCAATAACATTATCCCCAGCCAGCGAAGAACTTTTCTAATACAGTCATCATATATTTACTACTAGAATTATGTCTTATTTAACCACATTTTATGATTCTTTCTTTCCTCGCAACATTTTAGTTGATTAAGAATACNGGTTTGTTGGGGGTTTACGCAGAGAGGGAGAGAGCAAACGATTCAAGACCAGTCGCGTCCAAAAGATCTAACTGGGCATACATCATACAAAAAAAAAAAAAAAAAGGAAAAAAGGCACACACAATAGCATGGGAGATCTCGTCAGCTTAACAAAGGAAAATGGCACTTTGCAACAAAAAGGCAATTCCCATTTTATCGTTCTTTCCTCAGTGTCACCACAGCATAAATATCTTCGTTCTCGGCCCTCCAAACACCACCATTGCGCATACAGACATATTTTCTTATCCACTTAACCATGACACAACCAACATTATAGGAGTCTCAACCAACTGCATCAATGATCCGACGAACATGGCACAGATGCAATCAATTTAACGATCTTATACAATTAAAGCTTAAAATCAACACCATCATCCCCTGTCTGCGAAAAAATCCATCAGATTAGTTTTCAAAATAACCCAAGGATCTAATGACTAGATGTACAGCTGCCAATGAATTATATACATACTCTGTTCATGAACGCAAAATAAAAGGGCCTTGACCACGTCCACTGCACTAGAACCTTTTATCTTCAGGTTCTACAACGGACCAGTCCTGTAAGGTACAACACAAAAATGCCACTCGAAAATTGTTCAGACTAATAATAAAAGGATTATGAAGCTCAACCTTTTCCTGTTTTATGTTTATGTTGGGAGTCACTAGACTTACTGCAAAACATATAAGAGGCATCCCGCCCGTACTTTTGTAGAACATGTTGGTGCTTCAGAGACTTGGCACACGGAAGAACCAGATAAATGCAGACGAAGATCTAGCATTAGGCTTGCTGCCCTTGAGGTGTCCGCATGAAGAGGTACTGCAGAGAATGCAGTTGTTAAGCCATCCATCCATAAAATATGCTTTTGGTTCTCTTAAATGACCTCAAATGATTTGCCAGATCTCTCAAATTCTAGCATGTTGAGAGCAACTTCACAGCTCTGAGAGACAAGCCGCTCAGGATCCTTTGCAAATTCCTCGAGAAGTGCTATGCATTGATCATCTACAAAAGTAACATGACAAAGCTTATTAGGAAAAAAAAAACAAGAATTAAGACGGTTGGAGTTTAAAAGATACATACATAATCCAGAACAATAAATATATGAATGCAAAAATAGGTTTAAGGGTGATGATGGAAGGCTTATTAGTTCAGATGACAATGAAAACATTGCCTGTACAAGCTTCAGGGCCAACTAGATAATCCCACAAAAATGCAAAGGAATAGTTTCCATTTTGGAGGTTATGGATTTCATTCTGATAAAATCATCTAATTCAAGGACAACTTATCTGCAGTAAACATCATGTTACTTTAGCTCAATAACATTATCCCCAGCCAGCGAAGAACTTTTCTAATACAGTCATCATATATTTACTACTAGAATTATGTCTTATTTAACCACAGTTTATGATTCTTTCTTTCCTCGCAACATTTTAGTTGATTAAGAATACATGGGATTGCATAGACACTAACCTCATGGTGAACCACTATTATTTTCAGTCAGCCATACTAAAAAAGATCAAAAAATGCATCAAGTACATAAGAATTGTCAAACCTGCAATTGAACCAAGAGCTTCAGCTGCTTCATGTCTGACCATTGGATGCTCATTCACATCCCTGAGTATCCCAGAAAGTGCATTTGAAGCAGTTTTGTTTTGCAATTGGCGCAAGACGTAAGCAACCTGCAAAGTCAGTCCAACAAAATCACATTTAGATGTGGTTGGAAAAAACAGAGCCATCAAAGGCATATCAGATTAGGAATCGATAGCCCTTGAAGAAACACATTTCAATAACCAACGCATTAAAATGTCATATAGGCAGCAATTGTGACCCTGATTGTACAAACACCATATATATGGATGGGTAAAGAGGTCATTTTGTGCATTTAGCAATTATCTGAAATGATTATTGGCTATCATCACATGGGAAGAATTCATACACCTGTGCTCGATTATCTAACTGTGTGAAGTTCTTATTTCTCCAAACAGGTTTCACTTCCCATCACAATACACACCAGCTGATTTTGATGTTTTTGATTATGGAAGAATTCATGGAAAAAAAGTATGGCACAGTTAGATAATGCAAAGCTTTTCAACATGACTACCATAAAACACTAAATTTGCATCCGTGGACGTAATTTAGGGTTTCATGTGCCATGCCTAATAGGTGATTCATTATGAATATTAGTTGTATGCATAAAAAATTTAAATCACATCTATACGTTATTAGTGAGGCCAAAAACTTTTTGCCATTTCCTTTAAATAATACGGAAGCAATGAGAATGTAAACATCTGCCACCACAGCATCATACAGATGAAGTGAATTTGGTTATCAATCCATTATACAATGCTTAAACTTTATGAATGATAAATAGGACTATTTAAAAAACTAAACCCTAGAACAAAACGTATCTACAAATAGAGATGCAACAACAATGGTAGCCTCTGCAGGTAAAATTCATAACCCTCCTGGCCATTATCGCATCTGGGGCCAAAAGACTTAAGTCATACATGCTTTCCCTACCATTTAATATGTCTAATACACTATGTCAGTTATGCCAACAAAATTTTTAGGCCACAGGACCAATGGATGCTAGTGATGTATGTCACTGAGAGATTGCCCCCAATAGTAGTTTACAATTTATCGTAGAAATTGAGATGCTAGAGATACATATACAAATTGGCAACCTGAAATCGAGTAAGTCTTGCCCAGTATCCACTCTTATTGAGCTGATCTACATAATATATAAATCAGCAGACAATTGAAATGATTACAACTGACCTCATGTCTCAGAAGAGCACTTTTTGCACCTAAAGATTTGACAATAGCAGAGACAGCTTCATCTCCCCCATTGTTTCGAAGTG